AACTTTAAATAATGGGTTACATAGTATCATATGTCACTTTATCATTTGTCAATTTAAAACACTGTCAACTTTTTCATCAATTTTTTTCCTCTACATCATTTTACGTAATCCATTATGTACCTTTTTATGTACAAGTAGCAACTAACTTCAAGCCAAACAAGTATTTAACATAAAAGTGAAATTAACATTAAAACTTCAAAATATGATGTTCATCGTCATCCTATTATCTAAAGAATTAATCAAACATCATAAAATTACCAAAACATGTTCGGGAATGGTAAGGCATCACTCGAATTTCAGTTGCAAAATGAAAAAGATAAATAATCTTGAATCTCTCCTACAATTCTTGACTACTCTTCTTGAATCTTCTTTTTCTTCTCCCAAAATTTGAACAAAGGTCTTGAATTTGTGTATAAAATGTATGCTTTTGTACAAAATCTTCTTGTCCTCAATCATAGATGAAAATATCTATTTATAGTTCCAAGATTAGGTTAAAATTGTGCACGAATAGCATATTCAATGTAGAAGTTGACTTAAATTAGGAAACAATTTTTTTTCCTCTGATGAACAACCATGTGATCGTATGGTAAAGTGACTTGTGATCACATGGTATTCACCCTGAACACACCTGCGATATATTTTCTCTTCTCGTATGCGCATAGTATAAACCCGACGATCGCATGTTTAATGATTTCCTTCCCGTTGAAGTTGGTCCCTAAATTTTCCTATCGGTTTAGCTCAAGTCCCTTCCTATTTGTATCATGAATCCTTCATCTTTCAATTATAAAATAACTTAATCCCCATATTCTGAAATTTGTTCCTTTTTTAGTCGTTATCAATCGATTAGTTCCCTTTCTTCATATATCATCCAACATTGGATTTTTCTTAAAATAATCAATATACATCCAAAATTAAGTATCAAAGCAAACGTCCATTTTCAATTGCCAAGATATGTCAAGACTTAACAAGTCATTAATTAGGGACGATATTCAACAAAATGGTGAATAAATCATTTCTTTAAATTTAACTTGTAACGGTGAAATTTTTTTCCCTGATGAAAAAACCTAAAAGGTTTTTTTACCAAATGTGTATTTACATATATTCACCTAAATTGAACCGTGAATAATACATGACTATGTTTTGTGGTTGCAAGCGTTCAAAGTAACTTCTATACTATCAAATTAAATAAGTAGTTTTTTTTTAATTTCACGTTATAGAAAATATAAACTTATCCAAATATGTTTAAAAACTTCGGCAAGAGCAATCGACAACGGCTACCCACAAAAGGCACTAGTCGTGTGCATCATATCACTGAAGGTCAATGACAGTCACGTGTTCGTTGAGAGTTCGAACGATGACAACCTTTCGCCATTATTAGTAGTTTTGCCGCAAGTTGCAACGATGATGATAGGAATTGGATTGAGAATAAAAAAAAAAATTAGTATGTAGTTGAAGAGTAGCAGCGCCTGGAGTTGAGAAAGGTAAAAAGGATAAAGACATGGCAATAGTAATAGAATTGTAAAATAATATTACACACTAATCCAACGACCCGGTACTAGGCCGGATTCATGACTTGAATCGATTCTCATAACAATGCATAAGTTAATATAATAGGGTGGACGGATGAATGTCCAATAAGGGATGGTCTAAGCTCACTCTTCGTACGACGCCCAAGTAAATTCAAGTTATTTTGCTTCTGTTTTCATGATGCACGGCCGTTGACATTTGTTGATGATGATAAGATGTCAAGTCCAAGCGTCACGGACAGCAGCTTTACTTAAGCTCCGTGACCCTATCGTAGCCCAAGTTTGCCAAACTTCGGCTGCACATTGTAAACATTTCATTTAATTGTAAAATAGTTGGAAATTAGAAAATTTTAATATGATTCTAGAGACTTTAAACGTCTACTCCCGTTAGATAGGTTTTTGTTGCTAAGTCTATTATAGGGAGTATTAGTATTTCAAACATCTTCCAAACTTTCTAATGTTTGCCCCCTGCACTAGCCATTATAATT